TTCATCAATTAACTCTTCATCGATATCATCGCTATTTATAGTTTCATCATTAATCTCTTCGATGTCAACTTCACCATTATCAAGCATTGAAACATTTATAATCTCGCTAAGGTCAATTGTACTTGATAGGGCTGATGCCTCATTAATTGGATTAATAACACTATTTGTAGTAACTGTTTTACGAATCTTATTAATATCCTCTAAACGTTCTTCCCATTTCATTTCTGCAGCTATTTGAGTCATCCAAAAAATCGTTTGTAGCTGAAATAAGATTAAAATATTATAGTAAAGTTATTAAGTCAAAATACAGATTAACTAAATAATTCAGAACTAATCTGGTTATAGTAAGTTTATTAGGAATGTCATAACTTACATAATAAATTTTTTATAACCGAGTTATTCAATGCTATCTGTTTGGTGCATTAAATAAAAATAAATTTAAACATTATTATTTGCCTTAAGATTATAATGTTTTGAATTTTGGTACCATCCCATTCTAGAAAATAGACGTTCGCACGAAGCAGAATTAACTTTAATACTGTAAAGCCGAAAAGCAACTTTACTAATTAATTTTTGGTCTATAGCCACAAATTCTCAATATCATATTAGTGCAAGTCTATTAATATCATTTATTTCTGTATCTTGAACAGAAATAGCATCAACAGTATTTTCAAATCTTTCATCGCTAAAAATACCCCATTTTGTATAATATTCAGTTAATTCTAAGGGGATATTCTTTGGTTTTTCATTAAACTATACTTCATAATAGTATTCAATCCAATGAGTAATTCGTCCAATAGTAAAAAAATTAGTATCTGATAATGCATAAGCACGGAAGCACAGATAAAACACAACAGACAAAACAACAAAGGTTGTTCCCATTTAGCCCATCTTTTTTCGAGTTGCTGCAGTATCATATAACTAAAACCGTCAGTCTCATTTTCATAACATTGTGCAATATATCCAAATGAATGAATAACATCAAAAAGATTAGCCGCATCACGTTATAAATAGTTCAAAATACTAACAAACAATAAAAGATGATCCATAAGTTCAGTTAAATATATCCAGAATGCTGAGTCATTAATGGCCTCATGAGCTTTATTTGATAAACTGTTAGAACCTAGGTGCATAATTGAATATGCTTGTAAAACCCGTTTACTTCTTACAAGAGATGCAAAGCAATAATAGTACGAATTCCATTGTGTAGTTATTGGGCGTACAAAACTATAGCTTTTTGCATAAATTCTTTGCTGCTCTTCATGAAGTGCTGAAATTGCTTTTGTATGCCTTTTGTTGGTAAAGTATGATACGATTTTAATAGCTTGTTTTGCTGTTTTTTCATACTCTGAAGAAAGTTTAAAAATGCTGCCAACGCATAGATTAGCCTGGTGAGCAAAACATGAAAGGAATACGATATCTTTTCTTTGTACTTAAATTTTACGCCTAATGAGTTTAAAATAAAATTATTTAACATTAGCATTATATACCGCTTTGATTATACTGATATTTAGATATAACTAGAAATGGACAAATTAAGAATTTTTTTAAATTTACTGCGAGAATGTGCAGCTTGCATGCATTATTTAATAATGCAATGTGCAAACTTTAAGAATACAAGTGTCATAGGTCATACTGCGATACACATAGCTTGAAAACAGATGACGGGATTAAGTGAATGAAAGATCATAAATTGGAAAAGTCGATTGGTGGTATAATTGATGAT